CGAAAAAAGTTTCTTGTCTATGGAATTGTCCGAGCGGACAAGTTGCAGACAAAAAAGCTCATCTCTGCACGTATTATGTTTAGATGAAGTTTGTCCGCAAAATTGGAACCACGCAGGCACTTGAGCATTAGTGAGAACTATTGCTTACTTTTGAGAAATATTGATACTTTATATTTTCTTGTGCTTGCCAAACGAAATAACAAAAGTAGAGTAAAATAATAATTGAAAATAATTATTAACTGTTCATTTTCATTTTTCCCAAGGATACATTCTCTCATTCTATTTTTTCTTTGCGGATGTCAGCAAATCCCACTTTTCTGGAAAAAGTTTATCATCAGTAAAGCTGAAAGTTTTCATTTTTGCTACGTTATTTTTTGTATTATTTTTTTAAAAATCAAAGTTATGTAGCACAGCACTGAAACTTTCGCTGCATGTTGATAAATTCCCTCGCATCTCTTCGAAGGCAATGACCGATGAAACGCAATTGGCGTCGTTGCACTGTTTGCACCAGAGATTCTTGTCCAGTCTTTTTGTAGACAGTTGCATTCGATATCTTGTCAAGACGCTTGATGTTGAGTATTACTCTGTAGCAGCTGGTGGCAAAGCTGTTCAAACTGCTCTCAAGCTTGCGGGTGATGATCCAGCTCTCGCAGCCGTATAGGAGTATTGAAAGACACGAGGCTTGGAAGATATTGATCTTGAGACGAGTTGGAATTGTCTTTGAGCGCCAGATATCTTTCATTTTCCAGAAGGCTCCTCAGGCTTGGCCTCTTCGCACTTTGATGTCGGTCTCGCTGGACACCATCATTGAACCGATAGTCCACGACAAAATCCAACCCTTCACTTCCGCGTAGTGTCGGACGGGCAACGTCAATCTGACGACTAAGATGGGCTCTGGTAAAGCGCTTCAGGACTAGTCATCCCAAGCGTGGTTTTGTACTGACTCCGAAAACAACAAGATCGCTGTAAGCAAGAGTAAAAAACAGCTGCCCGGGACCTAGAATTAAGACGCAAGCAAGCAAACAGAAAAGCTTTTCAGTACGCTATCGATGCTCGAAACACGTACTGATGATACAGTTCATCTTTCGAGCATCTTTAGCTCAACCTGTTCTATGCTTGCTTCTTAATTCTAGGTCCGTTCGAATTATCGCCACAGCAGAGTAGGTTGTTTTAGTTTTTCTCTTCCTTAACTTGTGAACCTTGACATTAAGATAGCTGTGGACGGCCGTGTGAGAGCATGAAGACTCTCTGTTCACGTCAGCTCGATTCTGAATTTAATTTTTAACTTTTTCAAATCTAAAAGTTTAGCGCTTTTAAACGCATTGGAAACTAACGTGTTTAGCAGGATGTTTTTTGTCACATTTCGGGCGTTCAAATGCGTTAAATTATAACGCGCTCTGACGTGGTGACTATCGACGTTGTGAAACGCGTTGATCAGTAACGCGTCTGAACGTCCGGAATGTGACAAAAAACATCCTGCTAAACGCGTTAGTTTCCATGAAAATTTAAACGCACTCTAACGCGTTTTTTCGCAGAAAAAGTTTGGCTAGGGTGATAATGTAGGTCTAGTGTCAGAAGATATAGAATTATATAAGGTCGTTAAAAGATAAATCAAGCGGTCAAAGCTAGCTTTACTACATTTCAATCACATTTTCATCTTTTTCAGACGCATGAAAATGTCTGGTAACAATATCTGGATATTTTACGGAGTATCAATCTTTTAGTCATTAAAAAAGGATACTTTTGATCAACAAACATCTTTAGATACAAATAATTATATACTCGAAAAGCGTCAGAATGCAATATTCGATGTCTAAGAAAACCACACACCAGAATTTCAAAGTACACAGTACGATTGTGGCTCCCGGTTCACAGAGTTCAACACAGATCATGTGCTTGTTCAACCGTACATGGTGACGATGCAAATTTTTGCAAATCCGTTCTTCAAAAATTGCAAATGAAATTGTATGATTGAATAAGCACAACATAATATTCCCATGAACAATCGGCCAAAGTATCAATCTAATACATCAACGATATGTAACATAAAAACATTTTTTTTGTCTCTTTTTCTTTCTCCTCTCATCGCAGAAAATACGATTTTGTTGCTATATAAATATTCATAGCAAGCACACTATAATCATCCATCTTCAATTGTCGAGAGTTACCCTCATTCAGTCACTCGTCAGCTTTATCTCCTACATCAGCCTTGGTCTCACAAACAATGTGGAATAATTTTGTAGAAGGATACGGAATCATCCAGCAAATAAGACATATAATAATACAACATAAAGTCTTAATATTCAACAAAAGGATATATTAAATCAAGCGGTCAAAGCTAGCTTTACTACATTTCAATCACATTTCCATCTTTCTATGAATATTTCAACATCTTGTCTTCGTCAAAAAGAAATGTCTTCACTGTTCATTCGACGTCCTGTTGAAAATCTCATACTGATTTCGAAAATGACTTTATTATTCGTATCTTACGTGATAAAAATGTCGAGATTAATCGTACCGTAGACCACTGGCATATGTCCTATATGTCATGTGACATAAGTAGTAGTTAATCTTGCGTTCATCCTCAACATTTCTTTAAGTGCTGCGACCTGATCAGATTGCATATCGCTGACCGTATCAATAAAAAGACTTCTTAATGTTGTGTTTATTTCCAATGCTTCTTCAACTGCTTGAACTACTTCTTTCGTTATAGTGTGGATTCCAATAGCGAGAGTTGTTAACGTTAAATTCATTTTTAATTCTTCTACAAGAGCTTTGGCGCCCTCTTCCGATGTACTGCTATGACCCATATCCAGACTTGTTAATGTTGAACTTATTTTCAGTGCTTCTGCAATGGCTTTAGCACCCTCTTTCCATATACTGTTGCTTGTTATATTGACACTTGTTAATGTTGAATGTAACCGGGATGTTGAATCTGATTGTTAGCCACAACGGTACTTTGTACTTTGAAGTTCTGGTGTGTGTTTTTCTTAGACATCGAATATTGCATTCTGACGCTTTTCGAGTATATAATTAATTGTATCTAAAGATGTTTGTTGATCAAAAGTATCATTTTTTTAATGACCAAAAAAATTGATACCCACTAAAATATCCAGATATTTCTCTTTCGGGGTTCAAAAACTAGGTTGGAATACACGTTCTGTAAAAGTAAACATAACAACATACGACTATTTCCAGTTTCTAGTTCTTTATTCTGTAGCTGCTGTTCCGAAGGTAACAATTTGCTCATCTTTTTGTCATATATTGGATTAATCAAACGCATCGGTGGCACAGTACCTTCTTTAATACACACTATTAATCCATTTATTTCGCCATTCATTGTATACGATTGTGGTGGACGTCTTGTGCAATAAAGAAAAGTAATGTCATTGATGGATTTCATTGCAGTTTGACGCGCAACCATTTTAATAACTATCACGTGTTCTGTTGTGCCTTTTTCTCGGGTATCAACGGTACAAGAGAAGCTTTGATAATTAGGTGGGCTAAATTAAAGTCGAAGTATGAGCATTCAGATAGTGGCTGTTTCGATCATGCACTTACCATAAATAATGTTCATACCTTTTAGAGACCTTATATAATTCAATATCTTCTAACACTAGAGCGACATTATCACCTAACGGAAAGTTACATGTTATACATAAAAGACGATCTTTTCGTCCGAATGAATCAGTCATTAAGTTAGCATCTCGTTGTTGATCGTCATATGCTAAATAAAGAAAACGTTGAGACCAAGATGTTACTTTTAGTAGAATTCTAAGTGCACGATATTTCTGTCAAAAGAGGACATGCTCAGCTGTGTACAACTGTCATAGGTCAACAAAAGTTTTTTTTAGAGCGCATGTCCAAATTCCAGAAGGAAAGGTTTGCAGATTATGATACGATTCTTATAGATTCTTTGATGATTAACCCGTTACATCCGGCGGTCCCTTCAAAGGAACATTGATGTAATAGATTTATACAAAGAACGGATCATCAGGCCATAAGCTAAATTATTACTAATACAGGACAATAGAGTAGCCTAACTTTTGATTGAAATAAGAAAAAAACATTTTCATTTTAATCCGATATTTTTGAATTTTAAAATTGAATGAAGTTCAAAAATGAATTTTTTGATTTTAGATATTTTCTATACTTGTAGCCACTAAATCATTTTCTAATTTTATAGTTGGTAGTTTTGATTGTATGGATGTACTTTATAGTGAAATCAAAGCAGACATTTTTGTAGCATTCTTCTTTGCGTAAAAGCGCTGTGGATTCACTGTTCCTTGGAAGGGATATTCGGGTGTAACGACATGAAAAGTGAATTTTTTTATCTTAACATCTTGTTAGCGTGGGTCATTCTGTGATCATTCGCTACATATCTGAAGATGGACGAATGAAGAAAAAAAGATATAACCAACAGTACAGTGCCGTCGCCGACAAATGTGAAGGCGTTTTTCTCTGACCGATATAAAAATTCCATCTAAGTGCGTTTTAAATACTGAATAAAATTGGGAAGCGTCTAAATTATCTTCAGCTTTTTAAAAAACAAGATACGTCCGAATACACTTTTCTTCCTTGGGATAAAAAGAAGCTCTTTTAGAAGCGCCCTTGGGGTCATCTTGATTCGTAAAACGTGTTCGGACACGACGTTTTTGGAAAAATTAAAGAAAAATGCGTTTGTTTCTATCAAATGTTTCTATCAAAAATTTTTCCAGTGAGTAAAGAATTGAAAAGAAACTCATAGTAACACACTAGGGTAAAAAAGAAAGTTCGGAATAATAATGGAAAAAAATACAAAATCCATGTCGTTACACGGTGTAAAGCCTTGGAAGGACCATTTGGGTGTAACTTACACCCAAATGTCCCTTCCAAGGGACATCATGTACCCACGCAGCAAAGCAACACCACTTAAGTCCAGATATAACATGGATGTACCAAAGAACTGTAAGTTTCAATGCAACAGTTATTTCAGCGGCAGCTATAATAAAAGTGTCTTCGGATGTAAAGGGTTAAGAAAAAGATCAAAGTGTCTCGCTCCATGAAAATCTCTAATTACCTTTTCCAATTTGAATTCCTTGTACGACTGTATCTTCGGAGGCACGTCTTTGAACCACTGTATTTGCAATAGGATACATTCTTAAGATCTCGGAAACGAACATGTCCATATAAGGCATCTGCGCGACTATATCATAAACGGGATACTTTTTCGTTTCCTCCTCAGACCTATCATCATTGTCTAATGGAAGTTGATCAATTTCAGCTTGAAGTTTGTAGGTAACTTCTGGATGTGTGGCAAGTTCATAAGTTGCACAGACCAAAGCAGTCGATGTTGTTTCATATCCTGCTGTCATGAAGACAAGGATATTACTGATAATTTCTTTTCGAGTTAGCCGATAGTTTGTCTTGCTGCTGTCCTACACTTTATCCTAGAAGAGAAATCTATTTATAATGGACTTAGAACTATCTTCAATCCCTCCAGTGGAAATCGAAAACTAAAATTGAAAAATATTATGTCTTCACCTTAATTTTTCGGTACTTTTGCTTGAAACAACCAATGTGTTCGGTCGTCTAGAGAGAATAGCACTACAATTTGAGAATATTACGCTCTTCCATTGGGGAAAAAAGTTTCCACGAAGCGGGATCAGATACAACCACAATATCTAGATTTTGGTCACTTACATACCCAAAAATTTCTGTTTGACAATTCTGAAATCCTTTTCCTTTAAAACATTAAAAAATCAAGCAATTGCTTTCGAAAAAGTTTTCGACCATTTTATGTGATCTTTTGTGATACCAAAATGCACTTACACACTGCATAAATGTCTATACAAAAAGACCGTCATCTCCCAGTAACATGGAAGTATTCTAGTGGCTCACTCTCATGCACAGCCACCTCATCTAACCGAAGCCATTTCTCAATAAAGTTAAATGTATATTTTGCGGAAAGGTGGGAACATTACAACATGCTGCATAGCCGGAATGAATGGTTACTGTTCATCGGAGTAGACAGCTTTTTTTCTGTATTGGAAGAACAACTTACATTGCTATCATTTAGTCCTTGTAGACAGTGTTGGCGACAGCTAGATTCAGTTTTCATCTTTCTTGGAGCAAAAGCAAAACTTCTTGCGTATTGTGAAGGAGCCACATAAAGAAAATGTTGGAAAAATTTGATCATTGCGACCAGATAACTTTTATTTTATTTTTGCTGTACAGTTTATAAAAGTTAAGGAAGCTTATAGAAAACGAACAAAAAAGTTAAAAATCACAGTAATAAAACAAAAATAAAAATTTAGACCTCATCGACGGTCTTGGGGTCAGCTAAGTCCAGTCTTGACCTTCCTCAGAGCAAAAGCGATAAAAAGAACTTTTAAACGACAACTTTTTAATTCTTCAACATAGTTCATAAAATTAGGAACACAGAATAACAAATTTCTTTCTTTCTCCAATTCTTCTTTCATTTTTGTATGTCTGCTTGTTAACTTTTCTACTCATCCGTTCATTAAGACTTTACAAATTGATGCAATATGATCCATTGGATCACGATTTCGATCTATATTAAGATTTTTATTTTCAAATACAGTTTATACCAACAACAACGATGAAGAAGAAAGTAAAAATCGGCGTCATTGATAACGTCTAATGACTTTAAATGGCTAAATGTTTTTATCTGAAACGAAGGAAAATGGCCCTTATGCAATTTATTAAGTAATGCGACATTCTAGTATTTGCTTAAAACTATCATAATCCAACTCGTTTGTCTGACGGTCGGACAAACAGACAGTTGTATCTTTGTGTGATAAAAGGGATTAAGCCAATAAGATTAATCGTCATGGCAAAATTAGTCCTGATCAGGAAAAAGCGAAGTGGTCCTGTTATTTTACTCATTGAGTAGTACATAAAAAGAAACAAAATGCATAACACAGGCAAACATCATTGTATGACGTTTTTCTTTGATTATAGAACAAAAAAAACCATAAAATAGTTTTAGTATTTTCACAAAAGAAAATCGCGAAAATGTTTTCATTATAATGATGTACGCAACAAAGTTCACAATAACAAAATGAGAACACACAAAAGAAATCTGGTTGTCATCAGCAGGAAAAAAGATATATCTTAAAAATAACAAATAAATACAGAAATGAATTTGTTTATTTTCAGATGATGTTTATCTCAAGAAACTTGTTCTTAAACTTCCCATGGTTTTTCGAAATCAATAGATGTTATATCCAATGCCATTGTAGAAACATTTCTAACAAAAACATTTAGATCTTGTGATAACAATGATGATACAGGTTGATCTGTTTTGAATGCATTCGTAATTGAACATATTTCTGGAAAAGATATAATATTACATTTATATATTCCTATCCAATCTGGACAACACGAAAATATATATTTTTCAATACATGCACCGGATTCTTTTACATTGGTTTCTGCATAATCAATTGGTGTACTTAAGTTATAATTATTTTCTATATCACGTAGTAAGGTAAAATGTAAGCTGTCTGTCGCTAGAGACTCAGAAAACAGACACTCCGTCTCTCCACAGTAGGCGAAGGCGGAAAAGTACTGAGTCCAAGGCGAAAATCCCGATCTACAAAGGATCAGAGCGCTACACTAAAATCACTCACCACGTTGTTTGAATGTTGTTTTGTTTTTCACTTTTATTTTTATAAGAAGAAAAACGTACTGTCACAAATCGTTTTTTTGTATAAACTGAAGAAAAATC